AGTTAACATTTTTATTTTATTTATTTTATTCTTATATTTTATTATTATTATTTATTATATTATTATCATAATTAAATCATAAATTATCTTTTATATTTATTTTAATACTATAAAATAGTTAGCGTTAGATAGTAATTTTATATAATTATATTTTTGTATAAATAGAATAGACAATTGTTTTTGTAAAAGGACAGAGATAACAATGATAATTCAATAATTCAAGTTATAATCTTAGAATCTAAAGTTAAAGATTGCTAAAGATACAAATTTTTATAATAAAGGAATCTCTTTCTAAAATTATACATATTAAAATTTTTTAACGTGTTAATTATATTTATTATGTTTATAAATTGTTAAAGTTTATTTTCTTATCTAAAGTATAAACCTAAAGTTGATTATGATAGGATTTATTTCACAGTAACTTAATAGTTTCTTATACATTACTTACTATTATTAAGTTATTATTACTTTAAGTTTAATTGACTAAGTATAGGGTTAACAATATCTTTTAATTAAAATTAAATACAATAAAAATCTCAATTTTATTAAAAATTTTCAAATCTGATTTTCCTAGTAATCAACCTATATATCTTTTGAATTGTAGAGGTTTTTAAGCAAATTTATTTGTTTATTTACTATAATTTCCTTTCTGATTTACTTTATGAAAGATTAAATTTTAAATTTTTTTTTTAAATTTTATAAATATATATAATATTATAATAAATTTTATTTTTTAATTATATTATAAATAATTTAAAGTTACTTATAAGCTAAAAATTTGTAATTTTAAAAAAATTATAAATTAAAAAATTTATCATTGATCTTTGATCATCTTATTAACATTTACTTTTAACAATATTAATCATTATAAATATTATAAAATTTATCATGAAAAATAATTTTAATTATTATAATTTTTATAATTTACTAAGAAAATTTATAATTTTTATTAATAGTAAAGTAATACAATTAGTTTATAAATATATGAATTTTAGAAAATTTTTAAAAAATTATTATAATAAATTTTTTATAACTTAATATTACAAATTAAATTATTTAAAAAAACTTCAAATTTCTTTTAATAAAGTTGATAAAATATATATTAATCTATATTTTTTTATATAATAATTATATTATTAATATTAATATTTTATATTTTATTAAAAAATTAATACTTTTTATTTAAGTTTACAAACAAATTTTTTGCTTTATAATTTAAGAAATAATATTTAAATTAATTATAAATATCTATTAAAATTTTTTAAATAATTTTATTTTATTCTTAACTATTAAAATTTTAAATTATAAATCATTTTGAATTTAAAATAAAAGTTTAATTTAATTTAATTTAGATTATAGATTTTTAAATGCTAATCTAAATCTGAATTAAACTGAAAATTTTAGAAATGTTTTATTATTTAATTAAATAATATATTTTATCATTCTAATTAATTAGAATAATTATATTCTTATATATGTGATTTAAATATAAAATTAAGAGTAAATTTATTCATTGCAGGCCGCCTCCTTTTTGTCACCCGTGTCACACCCCTCCCTTTTTCATTTTTTATATATATTCTGGGACAGAAATTTTTTCATGTGTGAAACCCTATTTGTCACATTTGGAAGTGTCACATGGCTTAGAGTTAGGTTAGGGTTAGTAGGGTTAGGGTTAGGGTAAGGGTAAGGGTAAGGGTAAGGTATATATATATATAAAGGCGATGTATAAGGAGTATCCCCCCCCCCCCGCGATGAATAAATTTACTCTAAAAATAATTATAATTTAAATTGATAAAATATTTTAATATTAAAATAAAAATGCAAAAACTTTTATAAAAACTCGATAGTTAGAGTTATCTACTAAATGATAATTATAAAATAAATTATTTTATTTTATTAAATTAAAAAATATATATAATTAAAATTACTAAATTCTATAAATTTAATGTATAAATCTATTGACTAAAAAGTAAACTTTATAAAGAAATATATTTACTAATATTAATTATTAATATTAAATAATTTTGTATAAAGATTAATTATTTTTTATGAATTAGATTATATCATGATTGCCAAAATGTAAAATTTTAAAATTTTAGGTTTACAATAATAGTTAGTTGCAGGGTTACATATTATTTTGAAAAGGACAAAACCGAATTGCTATTTATCAAGAATGACGCTAAATGACATCTAATTTATACATAAGAGAGTATGATCAGAATTCTTGCTGAAGACAAATCAATCTTTCGAGAAACTAATTGGTTTATTAATATGAAGAAGAAAATTCTCAGTACATTTTTCACTTTGTAAGAGTGACCAACTTAAAATTAATCGGAATGAAATAAATTAATAATTATCAGAGTTCCTTCTTTTTAGAGGATTTCTCCTTTTTCTTTTCTTTTTTATCCTTTTTCTTATCATCCTTACTTTTGCCTTTTACCTCTTTTGAAGGTTGTTTCTTTTCTTGCTCATCTTCCTTCTTTTGCTTCTTTGCTTTTTTATCTTTATCTTTTGATTTTTTAGATTTGTCCTTCTTCTCCTCCTTACTATCCTTAACTTTCGAAGGTTGCTTTTTTTCTTGCTTAACTTCTTTTTTATGCTTCTTTAATTTCTTGCTTTTATCCTTTGATTTCTTAGATTCAGTTTTCACAGACTCTTCATCAGTAGAATCTTGCTCACTTTCTTCCTCATCTGTTTCTTCAGCCTTACGTTTTGTGCCAGATGTACTGGCTTTAGCAGATTGACTCTGCTTCTTTGCTTTTTTTTCTTTCTTTCCTTCAGAAGACACTTCTTCTTTGATTTTGCGTTCTGTACCAGCGGTGCTTGTTCCGGCCGATTGTCCTTGCTTCTTTTCTTTCTTAATTTTATCTTTTGATTTATCAAATTTAATGCTATCATCTTGATCAGACTCTTCTTCAGTGGAGCTTTCATCAGCGGACTCTACTTCACTTTCCTCCTCATCTGTAGAAACTATTTCTTTAGCTTTATGTTTTGTGCCGCCAGCACTGACTTTAATTTGCTTCTTGGCTTTTTTATTTTTATCCTTTGATTTTATAGATTTAGTACTGTCATGTTGCTCGGACTCTTCTTCAGTAGAATCTTCGTCACTTTCTTCTTCTGTTGCAGCCATTTCTTCGGCTTTACGTTTAATACCGGCAGTACTGGTTCCAACTGATTGACTAGTGCCCGCTACATCCGCGGATGGATTGTATGAAGTCGTAGCCCTAATATTGTTAAAGATCGACGTTATTATACAAGATGAAAGAACGCCGCACCGAGATAAAAGACTGAGAAACTTACGGAATAAGTTCAAATTTCTTTTGTTTTTTTCCTTTATTCTTTTCTGTATTTGTTCCAGTACCACCATTACGTCCTTCTAATGATCTTATTCTTGATTCAACGTATTTACGATTCGAATGACCCATTTCTGCCTGTATATCTTTGTCTTCAGATAAAGCATCAAAACGAGTCGCGAGAGAAGATTTTGTGGCAAGTATTCTAGCTACCTATTGCATTCAATTAAATAAAGTGATTTATCGTAATTTTTTTAAAAAAATTTATGACGGATTTCATTTACATACCTTGCCTTTATTTTTGGGAGATGCTTGGCCAACCAAACTAGCGTGATAAATTAAACCATATTTGGGTGTAGGATTTTTAGTTTTCAAAGCTCTAAAAAGAGCTTTTTCTGCACCTAAAATCTGAACAGTACTAGCTGGATGTTTGGCAAGATTAAGTAAACTTCCTGAATGTGCAATCAATCTGGCTCCAACCAATTCGCCTACTAGAGTAGTTAAATTTGGTGCGATTGCCAACATTCGATTTTTAAGATACTCATAAAGTTCTGCACGGTATTCAGTCAAGCTGATTATTTGTTCACATCCCATTACAATATTATCAATATCTTCTCTTGCAATTTCAGATCCCATAGATATCTCGGCTGCTTCTTTCAATTCCTTTTCCAAATCTTCCGGAAGTATCTCCGAAAGGTCTGTTGTCTGTGCATTAGTTCTGAAACCTTATTATTGTAATTAATCAATATATGTATGTATATATATAATCGTAAATAATTTCAAACTTAATAATTGCTTTTAATATAGTTTACATACCCATAGCCTTAATTATTTTGGCATACGCCAAATTATCAACCACAATTTTTGACATTTCTGGAAAATGCCAGCCATACCATTCTTTAACTCTCATTGCGTAAGTGTTTAATTCTTTGTCCAGATCATCCAACAAACCGATCGCTTGGATGATCATATTATCCACCTTATCTGGTGAAAATTTCAACTTGTGGCGAGACAAGGAATGAGAAAGACCCAATACCATCTGATTTATATCATCAGCTTTAATGCCAGTCATTAACGCGTCAAGCTGTTGCTTAATTCCTCGATACAACTCCATAATGATTTTGTCAGACACAACTTGAATACCAAACTTTTTGCTGATGGTGGTACCTACAGATTATCATACAACAACTTATAAGGAAATTATTATATAGAATCAAAAATCTTATATATACGTATTGAAAATTTCCAATATACAATAACATCATTACTCTTTTTTTCTTTTAAATAATTTAAAATCCTACCAATCTTTGGATCAATAACAGCAAGTTGTTCACTTGATAACTCCATATTATCAAATGACTCTTTCAAAAAATTTTTCAAATCTTTTGAAAGCTTTCCTTCCAAAAGATCGCTAACAGAGATTACTGCTTCATTCATGTTTTCAAATTTTTGAAAGTTCACAAGTTTTACCCTATAATAAACATAAATCAATAAAAAGCTATAAAATCATATTTTATATTTTTAACTTTTAAATACGTACGTATTTTTAGCTGCTTCTGGTGTTTCAAACTCTTTCCATAGCTCATTCGGTTCTTCTAATTTATCCTCGTTTAATACTTTGAACAACGCGTAACCAGCGGCCGTTTCAAAAAGAACGAGCATTTTTTTTTTTTCTTTGGGCTTTTTATGAACTAAAAGTTCTTTTTCTATTATTTAATAGCAAAAAATTTTTTTTAATCTAGATCAAAAAAAAAAATTATGTTGCACCAGATTTTCAATTATCACTAAAACTATAAATTAAAAAACATCACCTTTAAAAATTTTAATTATTAAATTAACGAATTCACCAAAGAATAGCCCGGCTGGCGTAATCGGATAACGCACCAGACTTCTAAGATGTAAAATCCTCTAAGGCAATCTGGGGATTGCGGGTTCGAGTCCCGCGTCGGGTACAAATCTTGTCCTTTTTTTTACTTTGGGAACATTTTGTTTCGGATCTAACTTCGACTGTAGCAAATTTACCTGAGAAATTTCCGAAATATCATTACACAAACAAACATTAATCACGTGGTTGTAAATTTTTATGATGTGAGCGTTACGTCATCTTTTTTTGAAAAAATATTTATCGAGCAAGCTAAGTATTACTTACTATCACTACTTTTAACAAGTTTTTCCCGGCATTATAAGTACGGAGTTCGCTTCGCAAAAATGGTCTTTGGGTTGCTTTGCTTTCACAGTAGGGCGCCATATTGCCACCGTGGGCCGACCTTTTCAGTTTCTTCAAAGATTTCTTACAGAATTTCGTGAGAATGACAAGATCTCATTAAAATTTACCTTTTTATAGGACTTTGCAGTTGGAATTATTTATTATCTTTCATATAAGTTTTTTATGTTTTGCGATTTCATTGATTTCATTTGCATCCTTAACAATCAATCGGTTTTATTTATTTGCGCTTTGTTGTTGAGATGATGTTGATGTCAAATTTCTCTCCCATAAAAAAAAATATGTAAGCTCGTACGATTCAAGGAAAATGAGTACATATAGGGAATTTGAATTCGCATATTAAATGAATGAAGTGGTGTTGTAATTTTTTTTTCAATTAGACATACAATATCATATTTTTCTGAGCTACATACAGATTAATAAAGCTAAAACGCGTTTTCGGGAAATTTTTTTTTCACATCAATAATTTTTTTTTCGTAATCCTTTCTTAGCTTTTGAATCACATTATTGCATAACCCAAGTAAACGCAACGTGGCGAAATGCTCAAAGTGCACATTCCATTATACTGTCGCCGAAAAGACTAATGCATTGTAAATCAACTGCTATGATTATACACACTAAAATCTGGCATGACCAGTTCATGATTTCCGCTGATCAAACATTTTCCCTTCTCGTTTGCTTTGTTGAAGTCAGGTATGAATCAGATAAAAAAAGTTGAACTTCGAGGATTCTGTTGCGAATATCTTTGAATAAGTTAAAAACCGGGCTCATTAAAATCATATAATATTTATTATAGAAACTTAAATCGCGTGAATTCTCTCACATATCATCCTCAATTTTTTTCAATTGTACCAAAAAAGCAGTATGACCAGTAGTATTATCACAAGTAGGTCTACATACATAAGCCAAAGCTTTTTCTGGTATTCTATTCTCCATAACTAAATTATCTATGGAAAAGGAAATATTTTCATCCATTTTACTTCTAATGACGGTAGATCTCACTTCCCACGGTCTCCAAAGAATTTCTAATACTTGTTCTGTAGCTAATTTAAATTTTTTTACTCTAATAAATTTAATTAATTCTAATACTTGAGTCATATTTGGTAAGTAACATATTATAAATCTATCTAATTTTAACTTTGGAATAATTGAAGGTAATTCCAACCAAGGTTCTGGTAAATCTAATACTATTCCATCAGCACTTTCGGATAATGAATTGAATATGTCAGAACAAGTCCCGATATTGAATGTTATATTATCATAATAAATTCCACGAAAATATTGTTTAACATTTTTTTGTGATTTACGAATATTTTCTGCGTTACAATCTATTGTTTGTATATGTCCTGTTGGATAGATGGCTCTCGCCAAATATAACGTTAAAGATCCATTTCCCGTACCTACTTCTAATATTCTTGAATATGGATGTAAATCAAGAAGTGCAACCTATTGAAAAAAGCAAAGAAAAGTTATTTTATGTTTAATATATAATATAGGCATAATATATTTATTTATTATATTTATTTTATTACTATAGTGTTGGCGTCCTTTGGATATATTGGTGTGGTATTTCTTGAAAACATTGATACATATCTATATGAATAAACAATAGGTTAGTATTAGAGAAATGTCTAAAGAAAAAAAATAATTTAGGGGACCAAAGAAATAAACATACTCATCCAACGTAGGAAAATGAATTGTAAAGAATTTTTCTAAAAAAAAAAAAAAAAATTTCAAAAAAAAGGGGTAGGGATAAAATTCGCAAGATTTTTCGTAAAGAAATAATTTAAGGTCGCTCATTTTGAAATTTTTTTTTTTTTTTTTAAAAAAGTATACGGATAACTGAATTTCCCTTATCGGAAACGATACCTTTATTGGTTTTAATAACAGAACGTATAGATATTCCAATTATAGAATCATGATTTATAATCCCACAAAAATTTTCTGTCTTTGCCCCTTTAGTTAAAGGTCCTATTAATGATTTTCTTGAACCTTTAATTTTTTTCGCTGTATCACGCAAGATTACTGTATCTCCCTCTACGAACTTTGTTCTATCAAATTTTTCATTTATTTCATTTATTACAGCCTTGTCACATATTGTTCGTCTTGAGTAGAGAAATTGAATATTTTGATGTAATTTCAAATTTAATTTTTTGAAATTTCTCCACATTTTTCTTACGATCGATGCTTTAAATATGTGATAATCATTTCTATAAATTAATAGTGAAAGATATTTTCACGTGATTTACGGATTAATTAATTGATACCAATTTTGTGTATTTTACGTTTTATTATACAATTTGCACTTAACATGGTCTGCAATAAATGTAAATGTTCATTGAACGTTTCTACTTATGAAATTTCTGATGATCTAACTTTTATTTTATATTCAAGGTGAAAAGAAATTGTCAAAAGTAATCTGCCCTGATAAATGGAAAGAGGGATCAAGAAACACAACAGGTATGCGACTTCTTATATTTACACACAAATATTTGTATCGAACGAACATTTCTAATACTTTAATCTTGTTTACAATTAATTAAAGTTGGGACCGATAGAAAATTAAACGAAAACAAGCTATTAAGTAAACCTGGAAAGAGCCGGTAGATGAATAATTTTAAAGATGAATCCTTTGCTTATTTTTGCTTTATATACATATCATTTAAATATTTGTATTTTTTTTTTTATTTATTTATTTCTAGATTTAAGCCTTATGAAAACAAATGTAAAATTTGCAAATCTCGGGTCCATCAAGAACATGCACATTATTGTCAAGGTAATTCATTATTTTATAATTGAATATACAGTTTTTTTTTGATTGAAAGTTATAAAAATCATTTTTATTTCTATGATACATTTCAAATGAAAATCTTTATTAACCCTTACTGTTTATTTATTTATTTTTTTTAGGGTGTGCTTATAAGCAAGGCATTTGTGCTATGTGTGGTAAACAAATTCTTGATACTTCAATGTACAAGCAAAGTTCCAAATGAGTCAATCATACGATACGAAATATTGGAACGCCTCTCCTATACTGATCACCAAAAAAGAGGTTGGCTACTTGTCAATGTTGAGATTATTTATATTATCTTGAATAAAAGTTCTCTATTTTTTAATATCTTGTATTTAATTAGATTAATGAATAAATTTTCACTGGTGGACTTTAAAACTTTTACTAGTCCGTCATATAGAACACCATGCTTAAATGCTATTAATTCATTAGAGATTTAATAGAGATTTAATAGTTCGGAATACCTTAATGGTGATGGTGAAGAAAAAATGGAGATGCGAAAAAAAATAAACTGAAAGATTTGTTAGTAAATATTAGGAAAAGAGGAGAACTATTTATTGTAATAAAAATTGTTCATTTTACAAGGATATTTTCTAAGAGATTCAACCCGTGATGCATGATAAAGTCTAAACATAACATCTATTCTAAACATCCCCCATTTAACCCACTATAATCATATAATAACACAATAATTGATAACTTCGTAATCCGGTTACATATTATTATTTTTACAATTAACTCATCTGAATATTGCGAAGTTCTAATGAGCGAACTATGGTCGCTCGTTCTCTCAATTCAAGTCTGCGTTCTTCTAAGGCCAAGGTTTGCTTTTCTTTTTCAATACTATCACTTTCTCGCTTATTAATTTGCTTTAACAAAATCAGGTCTTTTTCACAGTTTATTCGCGTTTTTTCAAATCTTCCTAAAATTGAAAAAAAAAGGTAACTAGTAAGTAATAAATGCAGTAAGTGTCTGGTCATGAATCCAAGACATGACTGAGAAAAATCTCCTTCATCCAGGGCAAGGATCATACATCCATTAGTATATAAAACACAAAAAAATTTTATGAGATAAAAAATCTTTAAATACGGATGTCAATGAAGTATTGATTGAAATAATTTAACGTGTCATAAAATCATGTTACTCATTAAGAAATCAAAATGGGTTTCAGCGTGAGAAAATTCCCATTTTATGAAAACAATGAATACATCGATCATTTCTAGATTAAAAATAACTTTCAAATCGATTTATCTGATTTTTGTGATTTTTGTGATAAAGAAGGATAGAAAACCTTCGAAATTATGTAAAATTAGCAATCTATTAATTAACTAGGGAAACGGGAACCGTTATGTAGTCTGGAGCGTTTCACGTGATCAAGGTGATCAAAAGACATTTATATTACATAAGAATTTAGCTGTGAAGGTAATTAGATAATCTACGGTAGAGGGTTAAATTAGTCTCAAATATTTGGCAAATAAAAAATGATTTATTAATCAGAATAATATAGGTTTTCAATATTGTTTCGTTGAGAAATAGCTAATCACATAATTACTAAACAATAATGAAAAAAAAATTTCAATTGATATATTATAAAATAAATAAACTTGCTAACACGAATGAAAAACAAAAGACTTAAAAATATGACTGAATATCGAAATGATATAAAATGAATAATTCTATTAATACAGAGACCATCCAAAAGCGAAACAAAAAAAATCAAAAGACAGATGAATAACAAACGGAAAGACTTATACGA